ATGGCTGAAAGACACTTAAGGAAATGTTCAACATCCTTAGTCATCAGAGAAATGCAAATCAAAACAACTCTGAGATTTCATCTTATACCTGTAAGAATGGCCAAGATCAAAAACACTGATGACAACTTAAACTGGAGAGGTTGTGGGGTAAAGGGAACACTTCTGCATTGCTGGTGGGAATGCAAGCTGGTACAACCCCTTTGGATGTCAGTGTGGTGATTTCTCAGAAAATTAAGAAACAACTTTCTTCAAGACCCAGTAATACCACTTTTGGGAATATATCCAAAGGATATTCAATAGTGCCACAAAGACATGTGCTCAACTATGTTCTTAGCAGCTTTGTTTGTCATAGCCAGAACCTGGAAACAACCTAAATGCCCCTCGACTGAAGAATGGATAAGAAAAATATGGTACATTTACACAATGGAGTATTACACAGCAGAAAAAAACTAAAAACATGTTGAATTTTTTAGGCAAATGGGTGGAGCTAGAAAACATCATTTTAAGTGAGGTAACCCAGACTCAGAAAGACAATTATCATATGTACTTACTAACAAGTGATTTTTTAAGCATAAAGTAATAAAAACCAGCCTACAAATCACAATCCCAGATAACCTAGACAACAATGAGGACCCTAAGAGAATCATACATAGATCTAATCTACATGGGAATTAGAAAAAGACAAGATCTCCTGAGTAAATTGGGAGCATGGTTGAAGGGGAGGAAGGAGGTAAGGAGGAGAGCAGAGAAAAATGTAGAGCTCAATAAAAATCAATAAAATTAAAGAAAGAGAGTCCTGGTGTCATGATGTTAGTGAGGGACTCAGGTACCTTCTAACTTTTAGTTGTATGAGACCTGGGGAATCAGTCCGCTTTTCTGAGTCTCCATTTCTTCCTTTGTGTATGCTTCCTTTTATCACATTCCTGTCCATCCCGAGTGACTGTGAAGATGGACCTTGGTGGTTTCTCAACAGATTTTGTGATTGGTAGATTAGTAAACTTATTGTATATGAGATTGCCTCTCAAGCCTGTGTGTCAGCGTTTGAGAGGTAGGAGGCAATTTGTTTATGGTCTAATAAATATATATTTAAAAAGTTAAAAAAACCTCCATGTTTGCGTGAACTTTTTTACTTTTTTACTCATCCCACATTTCCCATTTTTGAGAGTTCACCTCTGCTCATTTCAGTTTTGGATGAGGTCATAAGGACCACCATGGCCCTTATAAGGTCCCAGGTACAATTGTGTGGACTGTGGGAGAAGAAGCATCTCCTCCCTTGTAGACAGAGGTCATGTCTACCTTATTCACTGATCTACCCTCAGATCCCACAATAGTGCATGATGTGCAGTAGGTCTACAGGAATGTCTGTTCAATGAATGTCTGACCCTCTAAGTCTTTAGTCCCCCTCCATTTCATGTGTGTCATAGCAGCTGGGACTTTGGGAACAGATATTGACTAAACTGGGAGAATGTGGGGCTTCAGCAGTCTCTCAAGTGGAAGATGACTCTCCTGTCCTATGACTTCCCCTCCTTCCCATAGTACAGTGTGTGTGTGTGTGTGTGTGTGTGTCTGTGTGCACATGTGTGTGCACATGTGTCTGAATATTGGGATTGGGATAGTAATATACTTAGTTTTTTTTTTCTCTGAGAGTCTTTCTGTCTGTGTCTTTCTCTCCTCAGTGTGGTGACTGCTTTCATTGTTCCCGTGGCCTGGGTTCACTGCTGGCTACTATTTTCTACTGTCATCACACTTGTAGGGCTTGAGGAATCACCACTCCCTCAGCTTTTTATATTATTATATCCTGATTGAAGAAATTAAGAAGGCATGTTATATAATTCTAGTTTTTAAACTCATACAAGTGTAACACACACACACTCACACACACACACACACACACACACACCCTACTCACACCTCATTTTGGTTGCTGTGGTTCCTGGTTTCTTCCTGGCTCTGTTTGTCTTTCCCATCACCTCAGAACAGTTTTCCCACCTCTCAACACTGGGGCAGGCACATAGGGCCTGGGTTGACCAGTAGGAGCTTTGTGTCTACCCCTTACCATGTGCTGGAGATGAGCAGGCGTGGATTCTCTGCCTTCAGGGCCCTGAGCTTCTTTATCACCGAGTCACTGAGAGAATCCTGATCTAGCCTGCAAGCAAAAGAGGAGGCTATTCTTGTGAGATCCACCACAGGATCATGAGGTCTCAGAGTCCAGGACCTTGGACTCTGTTGCCTATAGAGCCAGTGAGAAGCCTTAGTAAGCTTATTTTTGAGTGAAATCCAGGACAAAGGATGGAGAGCAGCAGGCTGAGCAGAGGGAGATGCGTCCACGACACAGTCTCAGTGGGGCTGGTCAGTGTGCAGGGAGAGCTGAATCCAGGATGAGGACCTTTGGAACTTTGCAGAGCTGAAGTAAGGGTCTTACCACTTATACACTTATATACCTCCCCCGCATACCAGTCATTGGAAACAGACTGTCTCAGGGAGGGGAACATGGCCAGAGATGAGGGCACTTAGGTCGGCAAAGAGCAGCACAGTAGCCATCAGAATTCTCAGCGGCTGGATGTCATGGTCATATCCCCAAAGGGATTCTGGGCAGCTCTTCAAAGTAAACACATAGCGCTGGGATCATGGGTGTTCACCTTGATGGAAAGAACCTTGGTTCCCTTCTTGCCTCCCTCCCCATTTCGTTTTGTGCTGAGGAAGGAAGCCTTCTCCTCACACAGCAGTCACAGTCTGAGTTCTGCTGGTTGCGTTCTTATGATCTTCAAGTTGCAGGATTTCTGGGAGTTGGGGTAGTGTTCCACATCCTCAGTCCATAACACAGACCCATCACTCCCATCTGCCCACTGTGAGGCACAGACAAGGCAGGAGGGAAAGTTTCCTGCACCTGTGAGAGGCTGTGCCTCGTCAGGTGCAGCAGAGGCCAGCTCTGGACAGGCTCTTCACCTTGTGACAAACTGTCAGGGCTGAAAGCAGGCTGGGGAACAAAGGTGACAAGCACCTGTGTAGGTTTCAGCTCCCAGAGAGGTGGAGGAAGACTCTTGTGTGCTCAAAATTGAACCAGAGAGCTGGAGAGAAAGCTCAGTGGGTAAGAGCATGTACTACTCCTTTAGAGGACCTGAGTTCAATTCCCAGAACCCACTTCATGCAGTTCATATCCACCTTTAACTCCAGTTCTAGGGGATTTTGACTCCTCTGGTCTCTGGGGGCACCTGCACCCACATAAAACAGCGGTTCTCAGACTGTGTGTTGTGACTTCTGTGTGTGGGTGTTGAATAATCCTCTCACAGAAATTGCCTAGACTACTGGATATATAAGATATTTATTGCAATTCATAATAGTAGCAAAATTACATTTATGAAGTAATGAAGAAAAATTACATGAGGAGCTGTATTAGTGTCACAGCATTAGAAGTTGAGAATCACAGACATAAACAAACAAAGTAATTAATATAACAATAATAATAACAGCAATAAGAGAGTTGGAGCAGAAGACCTGACAGGGAAGTCCCAGGGAACAGGACTTCTGAACTTCTCCTGTTGGCTGGAAGAACCAGAAGACTCTGGGTACAGGGGTCGGATCTCTGTGGATCTCTGAGCCCATGAAGGGCACTGGCCAGCAACCTCTGGGAAGTTCTCCAGAAGCTGGCTGTGGGCTCGTGCTGGGGAGGGAGAAGCTTAGAGACAGCATGAAGGGGCTGTGTGGAGAATGAGGGTCTTCAGGGCTGTAGTTTGGAGACTTGCCTAGCTTGTGTGAAACTCAGTTCAGGGGGAATGGCTCCATTTCTGGTACAGAGAATTATCTCAGGCTCCTGTAGTGAAAGCTGGTGACCCTCCAGGCCTTTAGGCTCTTTCTGTTCTGGAGTTTTTCCCAACTCTGCCTTTGTCTGGTCTCAGCTTGGCCCAACCAAGTTCTATTTCTCCTTCAGGCCTCAGACAACCCTCGTGGGCATTCAATAAAGTCGCAGCTCTCACAGCACGACAGTCTCACAATACTGTGACTCCATGGCATTCAGCAGAGCCTGTCAACACAGAGTCTTGTGCTGACGGGTGATCTATGTCTGTCTCTTTCCACCCAGCTTCAGCAGGACAGAGCCATGTGTGCTTGTGATTGTACGTCTAGGGTCTGGACCAGTGCTTGGCACACAGGGGCCATGATAAGGATGCACGCATGGATTCTTGAATGAATAAATGATTGAAGCACTGTCCTGGAGGAAGGCAAACCTGGGAGTCTTCCAGGATATACAGCCTTGCTAATACATACGATTCCACTGTGCCCAGCTCCCTACCTGGTGTTACCTTCTCTTTTACATATGTACATTTTGTATCATTGCAATCCATGAGGTGGGTATGGCATTCCATTTAATAGGTGAGGAAACTGAGTTTTAGAGAAGAATGTCACTTGCCCAAGTGATGTGGGAGTGATTTCTTATTAATAAAGAAACTGCCTAGGCCCCTTGATAGGCCAACCCTTAGGTGGGTGGAGAAAACAGAACAGGATGCTGGGAGAAAGAAGCTGAGTCAGTGGGTCGCCATGGTTCTCCCACTCCAGACAGAAGCAGGTTAAGATCTTCTCTGGTAAGCCACCTCGTGGACTACACAGATTATTAGAAATGGGTTAGATTAATATGTAAGAGCTAGCCAGTAAGAGGCTACAGATAACGGGCCAGACAGTGTTTAAAAGAATACAGTTTCCGTGTAATTATTTCGGGGCATAAGCCTGCCATGTGGGAGCCAGGGCTGCCAGAACGCAGCCCTGCCGCTCCTTCGACACCCAAGTCATGGGTGTAGTGCATTATCTGTCCATTTTCTTTTCGTTGTCTTGTCATCTAGTAATGCACCTGTGTCCTTTCCCCTGCCTCCAGCCCAGAGGGAATCCAAGGGTCTTACTTACCGCAGGATTATGAGTTTGCAGGAAGGACTCCGGAGCCCCTCACACAGCCACATCACACCACTGTCTCCCAGGTCATTCAGCTGCAAGTCTAGCAAAGTCAGGCTGGAGCTGGCACTGAGCACTGAGGCCAGGTCCTCACAGTGGCTGGATGTGAGGCCACAGTGGACAAGCCTGCATGAGAGATGCTCACCGTCAGCTTCTCCAGGGATCACAGCTCTTGGGAACTGAGCTCAGGTCTCCCTTTGTGAGCCCTGGCACGCGGTGTTAGCAGTGCTTAGCTCTCTGGAGTGCCCTGTCTAGTCCTGAGCAGCAGGAGCAGTGTAATACAGGTTGGGGACCACAGCTCTGCTGTGACTGGCCTGGCCATGGCAGAGCTCCACAAGGCCCAGGACAGCTCACCGGTATATTTCATTTTTTAATTGTATATATATATTCCTCTGCTCCCATTCCTTCCTCTCCTCTCCACTTCTCATGATCCTCTCTCATGATCCCCATGCTCCCAATTTACTCAGGAGATCTTGTCTTTTTCTACTTCCCATGTACATTAGATCTATGTATATCTCCCTTAGGGTCCTCTTTGTTATCTAGGTTATCTAGGATTGTGAATTGTAGGCTGGTTTTTCTTTGCTTTATGCCTAAAATCCACTTATGAGTGAGTACATATTATATTTGTCTTCTCAGTCTGGGTTACCTCATTCAATATGATGTTTTCCAGATTCATCCACAAAATTCAGGATCTCATTATTTTTTTTCCACTGTGTAGTATCCAATTATGTAAATGCACCACGTTCTCCTTATCCATTCTTTGGTCGAGGGGCATTTAGGTTGTTTCCAGGTTCTGGTTATGACAAACAATGCTGCTATGAACATAGTTGAACACATGTCTTTGTGGTATGATTGAGCATCCTTTGGATATATACCCAAAAGTGGTATTGCTGGGTCTTGAGGAAGTTTGTTTCCTAATTTTCTAAGAAATCACCATATTGATTGCTTATCCAAAGTGGCTGTACCTGTTTGCACTCCCAGAAATGATGGAGAAGTGTTCCCTTTACCCCACATCCTCTCCAGCATGAGTTGTCATCAGTGTTTTTGATCTTGGCCATTCTTTCAGATGTAAGATGGAATCTCAGAGTTGTTTTGATTTGCATTTCTCTGATGGCTGAGATGTTGAACATTTCCTTAAGTGTCTTTCAGCCATATCAGATTCCTCTGTTGAGAATTCTCTGTTTAGGTCTGTACTCCATTTTTTAAATTGTATTATGTGTTTTTTTGATGACCAATTCTTGAGTTCTTTGCATATTTTGGAGATCAGACCTCTGTCTGATGTGGGGTTGATGGTCTTTTCTTGTACTGTAAGCTGCCGTTCTGTCTTGTTGACTATGTCCTTTTTTTTTGTTTTAAAACAGAAGCTTCTCAGTTTCAAGAGGTCCCATTTATTAATTGTTCTTCTCAGTGTCTGTGCTACTGGATTTATATTTAGGAAGAAGTCTCCTATGCCAATGAGTTAAGTGTAATTTCCACTTTCTCTTCTATGAGGTTCAGTGTGATTGGTTTTATGTTTGTTGTGGTCTTTGATCCATTTGGATGAGTTTTGTACATGATAATAGATATGGATCTATTTTCATTCTTCTACATGTTGATATCCAGTTATGCCAGCACCATTTGTTAAATATGTTTTCTTTTTTCCCATTTGATATTTTTTGCTTCTTTTTCAAAAATCAAGTGGGTGTTCAAAGGTGTGTGGATCAATTTGATTCTGTTGGTCCTCCTGTCTGTTTTTCTGTTTTCAGTACTGTAGCTCTATAGTAGAGTTTGAAGTTAGGGACTGTGATGCCTCCAGAAGTTTCTTTATTGTGCAGGATTCTTTGGGCTATCCTGGGTTTTTTGCTTTTCCATATGAAGTTGAGTACCGTTCTTTCGAGGTCTGTGAAGAATTTTGCTGGGCATTATATTGAATCTGTAGATTGTTTTTGGTAAGATTGCTTTTTTATTATGTTAATTCCACCTACCCTAAAGCATGGGAGGTCTTTCCATTTTCTGGTGTCTTCTTCAATTTCCTTCTTCAAAGATTTAAAGTTCTTGTCGTACAGGTCTTCTACTCGTTTGGTTAGAGTTACTCCAAAATATTTTATGCTATTTGTGGCTATTGGCAAGGGTGATGTTTTTCTAATTTCTTTCTCAGCCCATTTATCATCTGTGTAAAGTAGGGCCATTGAGTTTTTTTCAATGTAATCTTGTATCCTGCTACATTACTGAAGGTGTTTATGAGTGGTTGAAGTTTCTTGGTAGAATTTTTGGGGTCACTTATGTAAACTATCATATCATCAGCAAAAAGTAAGTGTTTGACTTCTTTTCTGATTTGTAACCCCTTGATCTCTTTTTGGTTTCTTATTGCTCTAGCTAGAGCCTCAAGGTCTACATTTAATAGATATGGGGAGAGTGGACACATTGTCTTTTTCCTTATTTCAGTGGTATTTCTTTGAGTTTTTCTCCATTTGGTTTAATGTTTTCTGTTGGCTTGCTGAATTTTGCCTTTATTATGCTTAGGTATGTTCCTTGTATCCCTGCTCTCTCCAAGACCTTTATCATGAAGGGATGTTGTATTTTGTTGAAGGCTTTTTCAGCATCTAATGAGATGATTGTGTGTTTTTTTTCCCATTTTGTTTATATGGTGGATTACATTGACAGATTTTCGTATGTTGAACCATCCCTGCATCTCTGGGATGAAGCTGATTTGATCATGGAGGACGATTTTTCTGATGTGTTCTTGGGTTCAGTTAGCCCTTATTTTATTGAGTATTTGCATCAATGTTCATGAGTGAGATTGGTCTGTAATTCTCTTTCTTAGTAATGTCTTTGTGTGGTTTGGGTATCAGGGTAATTGTAGCCTCATAAAAACAGTTTGGCAATGTTCTTTTTGTTTCTACTGTGCTGAACAATTTGAGGAGCATTGGTATTAGTTCTTCTTTGAAAATCTTGTAGAATTCTGAGCCGAAATCTGGTCCTGGGTTTTTTTGCTTGGGAAACTTTTAATGACTGTTTCTACTTCTTTAGCAGTTATAGGTCTATTTATTTGCTTTTCTGGTCTTGATTTAATTTTGGCAAGTGATATTTATCCAGACAATTGTTCATTTCCTTTAAGTTTTCCAATTTTGTGGAGTACAGGTTTTCTAAATAAGACCTGATGATTCTTTGAACTTTCTCCATCTCTGGTGTTATATCTCTCTTCATTTCTGATTTTTTTTTTAAAATTTAGATATTCTTTCTCTGCGTTTTGGTTAGTTTGAATAAGCTTTCCCTATTTAGTTGATCGCAAAGAACCAACTCTTTGTACTGTTTTCTTTGTTTCTATTTTGTTGACTTCAGCTCTCAATTTGATTATTTCCTGCCTTCTACTCTTCCTGGGTGTATTTGCTTCTTTTTGTTTTAGAGTTTTCAGGTGTTTTGTTAACTCATTAGTGTGGGATTTTTCTAGCTTCTTTATGTAGGCATTTACTGCTATGAACTTTCCACTTAACACTGCTTTCAATGTGTCCCATAAATTTGGGTGTGTTATATGGTCATTTTCAATGAATTTTAGGAAGTCTTTAATTTCTCCCTTTATTTCTTCCTTGACCCATTGATGATTCAGGTGAGCATTGTTTAATTTCCATGTGTTTGTGGTGTTTCTGAAATTAGTATTGCTGTTGAATTCTAATTTTAAGCCATGGTGATATGATAAGATACATAGGATTATTCTAATTTTTTTGTATCTGTTAAGGTTTGTTTTGTTACCTAATATGTGGTCAGTTTTTGAAAAGGTTTCATGAGGTGCTGAGAAGAAGGTATATTTTTTCTGTTTGGATGGAATATTCTATAGATGTCTGCTAAATCCATTTGAGTCATAATATCTGTTACTCTCCTTATTTCTCTGTAAAGTTTCCATCTGGCAGACCTGTCCAGTAGTTATAGTACTCTGGGCTTGCATCCAGACCATGGCAACTCTAATAAGGAAAACATTTAATACAGAAGGCTCGCTAACAGTTTCAGAGATTCAGTTCATTATTGTCATGGTGGGGATGGAGTGTGCAGGCAGATGTGGTGCTGACTATATCTTTATATTCTGGCCATAGCAAGTCAACTGACACCTTTAGTAGTATCCTGAGCCAAGGAGACCTCACAGCCTTCCCCCACAGTGACACACTTCCTCCAACAATGTAGCACACACTTAAACAAAGCCACACCTTTTAATAGTGCCATTCCCTATGAGATTTTGGAGGTCATTTACATTCAATTACATAAAGTAAAATATAAATAGCCAGGCCGTGGTGATGCATGCCTTTAATTCCAGCACTTGGATGACAGAGGAAAGAGGATCTCTTGTGAGTTGGAGGTTTGCTTCGTCTACAAAGGGAATATTCCAGGACAGCTATTTACACAGAGAAATTTTGTCTCAAAAAATCAAAATTAATTAATTCATTAAACTTTTTAAATAAACACAATCCTTTAGATTTTAGTATTTGGTTTTCTTAACATTCTTTGGTTTTGTAAAAGCAAAAAGGAAACATTCTATACTTTCTGTTTCAGTCAAGCTGGCCATCTTTAATCTGTGTTTTGAGACTTGCGGTTTTATTTTGAGTTTGTTAGCTTGTTTGGTTTATAGTGTTAGTGATGAAATTCTTCACACACCAGATTCTTAGCTACTCACAGCTCCTTGCAGTTTGTAAGTTAGGCTGGTTCAAAATTCATGGTTCTCCTGCCTTTGTATGATTGGTTACTGACATTAAAGGAATGCCTTACCATTCAGGGTCATATATATTTTCTCCCCCTTTCTCTCTGCCTGTCTGTCTGTCTCTGTCTCTCTGTGTGTGTCTATAAATTTATGTCTTTGTATGTCTCTGTCTCTATCTTCCTATCTATCTATATCTATCTATCTATCTATCTATCTATCTATCTATCTATCTATCTATCTATCTATCTATCTATCTATCTATCTCTCCTCTCCCCTTTCTCTTGGAAAGATGTGGTGACATGTGAATCAGCACATCTGTAGAGTTTATGACCATGCTTAACCTCCCACCACAGAGTCATTCTCAACCACCTCTCCTGAGCTCTCTTCCCATCTCCTCTTTCCAGTTTTACTTTATGAGACTCTAGAATTCTGCTCCAAATGAAAGCAGGTACATTCACATCAATGGAAGAGGCTGTCTTAATCATCAAGGTCCTTCCTTCGTTTCAGGGCCTGTGCTGAGTACTCTAGATTTAAAAGAAAAGATACTAGCCACCTGTTCACACCTATGGGACACCTATACTGCAGTCTAGAGAACAGTCAACTCCTAGACTACCCAGGGCATTGAGAAAAAAATCCAGGAGTCAATGCCCAAAGACTTTTCTATCTGAAGGGTTTGGGGAAAAGAGACACTTATACAGTTTCCTGATGGTTTCCTGATGATGTTTCTCTAAAGATGCTCCTCTCATAATATTCCATCTTTTTTTTTATTTTACAAATCAACTACCTGCAATTTGAGGTTTCTCTCCTGTGCACCAGTTCCTTAATAACCACTCTGAGGCTTAATATTAATTACAAACTGTTTGGTCTATTAGCTCAGGCTTATTATTAACTAGGTCTTACCACTTAAACCATTTTTATTATTCTATATTTTACAATAAGGCTCATGGCTTGTTACCTCACATCTTGCTTCTCTGGTGACTTTTGGTGTCTTCCCAACTCCACCTTTTTCTCACATTTGTGGTTCCTGATCATTTTTTCATATTTTCTGTTTCAAAAATTCCTTTGGTTTGTGTTTCCTTTTTGTTTCCATTTCAGTTTTTAAGTCTTGAGTAGTTTCTTTCATCTGTTTGATTGCTTTTCATAATTTTCTTTAAGGGATTTGTTGATTTCTTCCAATTTTTTTTGTTTGTCGTTTCCTCCATTTCTTTGACGGAATTTTTAATTTCCTCTTTAAGGGTCTCAAACATTCTCCTAAAGTTATTTTGTAGGTCATTTTCTTCTGCTTCATCTATATTGGGGTGTTCACGTCTTGCAGTTGTAGAGCCACTAGTTTTTGTTGGTGTTGTGTTGCTCTTTGTGGTGTTGAGTGTGTTTTTACCTTGTTTACCCACCTTTTCCTCTGATGGGTGTAGCTGGGGCTGTGTCTCTGATGATCAGTCTTCCAGGTGCTAGTGAACCTGAGGTTCAGATGGTTGCTCCTTGTGGTATAGTCTGGGCCATGGTTCCAGTCACCCCTGGAGGTTGCTCAGTGCTCCCAAGGGTTCCTCTGAAATCCCCAGAGATTGTTCATGTCTGCTCCCAGGGACGTGGCTGGTTCAGCCTCTTTTTGCAGAGGTCCCTGGGTTGGGCCAGGTCCCACAAAGGTCTCTGTCTTTGGCCTGCTCCCTCGGCGGTTTCTCCCTTTGTACCTGTTCCTGTGAAGGCTGCTGTCTTGGGCCTGCTCAGGTGGAGGTCACTGACTCAGACCTGCTCCCTCAGAGGTCCTGACTCCGGCCCAGTCCTGCAGAGGTCTGTGACTTGAGCCTGTTCCCTTGGTGGTCGCTCCTGTGGAGGTTGCTGCCTCAGACCTGCTCTACTTCATTTTTTTTTTTTACAAATTTTTAAAATTTTTTAATTAAGCCAGACATTTTTCCTACTCTCCTTCCTTTCTCCCCTCTCCCCTTCTCCCATCCCCATGCCTCCTCCACACTTCCAGTTTACTCAGGAGATCTTGTCTTTTTTTCTCCTTCCTAAGTATGTCTCTCTTAGGGTCTGCTTTATTGTCTAGGTCCTCCTGAGGTTGTGGGTTGTATGTAGGTTAGTTATCCTTTGCTTTATGTCTAATAGTTCACTGGTCTATTTCAAGAGCCATCTGAAGTGACATTCACCAGCCATAGACCAGGACATAATCTCAGTTCTCATATGGAATCTTAGTAAAGATGGAGTCCATAGAAATGGAGTAGAAGGTGGTTGCAAGGGCAGAGAGCTGGAGGAAATGGGGGCTGACATTCCTTGGGCCTGGAGTTTTCTCTCCTCCTGCTTCACTTTGTCTCTGTGTTCTGCAACTCTCCTAATCCCTTTCTCAGAAAGTTTGCTCCACCCGTGACCTCATGGGTCGGTTGGTAGTGAGGTTCCTTGCTGCATGTCATTCTCTCATGATCTCTAAGAATAGAACCCCATTTGTTTATCATAGCTAATCTGGCATCTGTCACAGGGTTGGTCAAGAAAGCTTGGCGAATATTTGATGAATACCAGGCCTCACCCTAGACTCAGGCTTTGCATTTGGTCTCCATTCTACCCATCTGTGCTTCAGGGAAGAACCAAGGTCTGACTCACCGCAATGTCTTTAGGTGACATCCAGGGCATCTCAGGGTTCTACAAAGTCTCCATAGTGCTAAGAAGCTCATTGGATTTCCACTTAAGTCCAGCTCTTCCAGGCTTCCTGTGATCTCAAGAATGGAGAAGAGAATCTGCCAACTGGTATCTGTGAAAGGGATCCACCTTGACCTGAATGAGAGAGATATGGCGGGGGCGGGGAGAAGAAATGAGGGATGTAACTTGTGTGTGCACGGTCTGATGTGCACAGTCCTACACAGCAGGTTAGGCTCCTATCTGCCTCAATATGCCACCCCTAGAATTCACCAACTTCTACCTCCTCCTTTGTTCCAGCATCTTGATCCTCTCCTCTGGGTGGTTCCTCATCTACATCTACATAGCATGCTGTGTGCTCATTTTGCATGTCTGTGTCTGACTAGTCTAGGTGTCCTACAGGGTGTGAACAGGTAACTGGTGTCTTTTCTTTTTACTCTAGAATGCCAAGTACAATGCCTGGCACAAAGCCTTCTTCCTTCTGATGTGAATATACCTGATTTCCTTTGGAACAGAAATCTAGAGTTTTGTAAAGATAACCCGGAATGGGGAGATGGGAAGAGAGCTCAGCAGAGGTAACTGAGCATGCCTGTGATGGGATGTTGAACATGATCAAAAACACCACAGACCTGCTCGTTCACATGGTCTCTGTATCTTTACAGGACTAGAAGACTGCAGAGAAGGGACAGAGAATGAGGAGAGAGAGAGAGAGAGAGAGAGAGAGAGAGAGAGAGAGAGAGAGAGAGAGAGAGATCAGCTTAGAGTGGTAGTGAATTCCTTTAATGTAAAAAGCAAGCATATGAAGTCAGGAAAGTGGTGAGTTCTAGGCTAGCCTAAGCCTGAAGAGCTGGGAGTAGCTCAAGCCTGGCCTGTGCAACATTCTGTCCCAAACTCTACAAATAAAACAAAATAACAACTCAAAAACCACAACTCCAGAAACACAGATGAAAAGTGACCAACATTAACTGGAACAAAAACTATAAAATATTTCGTTCCAGTTTCATAAAACCAAAGAGTTGTCAAGGAAATAAAATACTAAACATTGAAGGTTAGTGGATTTCAAAAGAATTTACTTATTTTTTTATTTTATGTGTACATTTGTATTCCTGCTTGGCTGTGTGTGCTCTGTGCATGCAGAATCCTGCAGAGGATACAATCAGAGCGTTGGACCCTCTGGGACTGATTTAAAGGTGGCTGTGAGCCATCTGATGGGGTGCTGGGAATGGAACCACATCCTCTACAAGCCCAGCAATGGTCTTAAGCACAGAACCCATCCCAGCCCTCAAATAAACTCTTCTGTAAGCTGCCTTGACCTTGACGCTTTATCACAGCAACAGAGAATTAACCAACACAGTAGGCAATCTCTCTACTGATGAGTTACATTCTTAGCCCTTAATATTTTGAGACAGCCTCACACTAGGTAGCTCAGGCTGTGCTGGGACATATTGGTCTTCTTGCTTCAACCTTGTGAGTTTGGGAAGACAGATGTGCCAGACCAAGCTCAACTACTCCAATTCTTAACCCTGTCCTTCTTGACACATGGAATTATGAAAGCTCCTTTTTTGTTTTGATAATTGATATATCCTTACTCTTTTTACAACAAGTAGGTTTTTAATTAGGTCATTCTAATCAAATGAGTCATTGAGACAACTTCCCATATGTGTATAACTTAGTTTGATCATGTCTGTGCTCTCTGACTCATTTTCTTTTCTCTCTTTACTCCCTTCCTGTTCTCTAACAGTTGCTATACTACTTTTAAGTCATTTACTTTTTATGTGGGCTTTTTACATCTTTTGCTGTGTTGCTCACGTTGCTATCAAAGCCAGAACTCAAGAAATATCCCAGTTTTAACCACCAGAATAATGGAATTTCAAACTTTTGCTAGCAAGACAACTCAGCTTATCTGGGAAAAGTTTCAGTTTGTAGAAACAGAAGACTCAAAATGAAAATATCTCCTCCTCTGTGAATATTTTCCTTTCTGGTCCACTTGAGTGAGCATTCTCTTCCCTGATACTTGGTGTGTGCCTGGTCGTTGCAAATGTCATGCCCTATGTAATTAATGTACTTGACTGCCTTATCTCCACTTTTTGAGATCCTCTTGGCAGTACCCGTAGTTTTCTCCCTGTAGCTGATTGGTTGTGCCTTTTATAAAATGAGTGCTTAATGAATATTGATGGGTGTGAGTCATCTAGAGAGGAGAGAGACACATCCTGGTACTGAGTCACCACTACAGCACGGTGGAAGGCAAAGTCTGTGTTGCTGCTGGGATTGGAAGGCAGTTAGGAAGCCTTCAGGCTGAGTGCCAGGGCCATGCTGCCTTCATGACACATACAAGGAAGACATTTGGGCAGGAAACATAGGGACTCTTACAAGTATGCATCCTGAGGTGTTGGAGGGAAGACCCTAGGGCCAAGGTCATTGTCCTGGGGATAGTGGATGGTGCCTACAGAAGCTGAGGGAGCAGGTTTTTAGAGACAGAGCATGGTGTGAAAGAGGGTCAGCTAACTGGGCCATATGAACCTTGTGAAGGGTGGAGATGAATTTAATCAGAGAAGAATTTTTATCAGTTTTTGAGGCACTCAGATAGGAACAGTTTTTCCCCTTGTAATTGATTGTTAGGGCCAGCCATAAAAACAGTGCTTTGGAGTGAATGATCTGGAAGGGAGAGAGACACATACTGATCCCAGTCAGCATTCTGCCCAGTGTAGGCGGTCTTGGAAGGGGAGGTCTGTCTTGCTGCTGGATTGGCAGGAAGTTAGGAAGCCTTCATGCTGAGTGCCAGGACTAGACTGCCTACATTGACACAAGCTGGGTAGGGAAAACATAGGAATTCTCATACATATGAATTCTGAGGAGATGGGGCAAGGCATCAGCGTCAAGGTCACTGTCACGGGGAGAGAGGATGGTTCTTGCAGGAGCTGAATGGGCAGTTTCTTAGAAAGAAAGCATGGTGAAACCAATAACTCTGGGCCTTTTGAACCTTGTGAAGGGTGAAGAGGATTTGAATCAGAGCAGGTGGGTAGTCCTTACCGAGACAGAGAGATAGACAAATGCTTATAGCTCCATTGTATAGTCAGGCACACAGAGGCAACTAGAGAAAGGCGATCAGATCCAGCAGTTAGATGCCACTGGTGACCTGTACCCTGCTGCCCTGGAGCCAGCCTAGGGTGGTGCTGGTGCCTAGAACACGTGTGCTTATGGGGTCCACAGAGAAGTTGGAGAGAGGGCTGTGTCTGGATACTCACAGAACTATCCTGGGGGCCAGCCGTATTGGTCTCTGCTGTCCATATCCACTCAACTGAAGCCTCTTCGCATGGCGGCAGAACTTAATACAGAAAGTGACCACCATGAGCTCCACGTCTGTCTGGACCACCAGGTGGTTTACATTTGTCTGCAACACTGGGTAAGCCATATCTGTTGGGTCACAAACCTTTATTGTTTGAAGATTGTGCATCACGCGTGTCAGGAACCCCTCATTCTGAGTCTCATAAAAACAGTGAAACAACCCCAGAGAACAGAGATGCAAGTGCTCGGGCAATGTTCCGGCTTTATATAGCATTTCCCACACGGTGTCCAGAGGCAAGCGGGTGATGAAGATCTTCTCCATTTCTTTAACCCTTTGTTTACTCAACAGGCCAAACAGGAAGCGTATGGTGGGTGCCTCAAACAGGTCTTCTTTCCCATACACTTCTATCAGTGTTTCCACAGTTCTGTATATTTTCATATCACCACGTTTCTCCTCCTTATTCTTCAAGATGCAGAACATTGCTGCAAAGAACTCCTGGAGACACAAGTGGGAAAAGCTGTAGCTCAGAGAGCTGGGCTGCTTTTGAAGGATTCCAATCTTCAGAAAAGTGCCGATGACATCACCAGATAACCCTTGTTCACAGAGATCGCTCTCACTGAACAGGGTCCTCCTTCTGCAGATCCCCTTAGCAGCCAGTGAGCAGAGCCCTCTGAGCTGGGTCAGCAGGGCATGGTCTGGGAGAATCAGGGAAATGTATTTCAGGCAGAGGGCTGTGGTGGTCTTTGAGGTGAGTGAGAGTTGTCTCCCTTGTTCCATCTGCTGCTTCAGACAAGTACAGACCAGCCAGGACACCCAGGGTACCTCACACAGTGTTGAGAGCACTGGGTCTGAGGAAACCAAGCTGAAAGCTTTAATTGCTCCTCCTTTTTCTGAAAAATATTTGTAGAAATATTCCTTCCGTCCAGACTCAGAGAAGCCCAGGACTTCCACCCAATGTGGCTGTCCCAAAGACGGAATGATCTTATTCGGGTCTGTGGTCCGAACTGTGAGCAGCAAGGAAGCCTCAGGAAGGATGGATTTCTCCAGCAAACTGGCCAGAAGTGTGTGCACAGGCTGTGTCTGACTCCAGTGCAGACACAGCTCAGGATTATGATCTTCCAAGACCCAAGCTGGCTCATCTATGCCATCTAGGATGAAGAGCAGCTTCTCAGGGTGAGACAAGATTTGCCTGATGGGAACTGGGGGCACAGTCTGGTCTTTTGCTACGAGCTTAGCCAGACTCAGTTGCTCACACTGTGCCAGCTCTCTGCAGCTGAAGTAGAAGACATGCTGGAAGCGATCCCTGTAGAGCTGGCCTTCCTCCCATGCTCTCCTCACCTGCCTGGCCAGTGTTGACTTCCCGATGCCAGCAGCCCCCTGTAATACAACTAATTGAGGCGTTTCCTGTGTATCTGGGTTTGGTCGAAATAAATCTTGGATCTCAATCAGATGTCCTCTTTTCTCTGCTACACATTGATACCAGCTTTTTCTGACCATGTTCTCCCAGTCTCTTGGACAAGATTTTTGTAAGAGTAGTAGCTGGGTGAAATTTTGGAGCAAGCCCTCTGTTTTCAAGTTCTCTGTCTTATAAAGACAATCATTTTCTTCAAGGTTCTGATATATTTTCGGAACACTTCCTAAATAAGGGAGAAAAATGGAATATAAATGTACACAGTAGAGTTGTTTGTTTTTTCATTCCTTTCTATCTTCTTTCTTTCCAATCTACACAACTGGACATGCTTAGGCATATGTCTAAGCTCTGCAACGGACTGGCTGTGGGTGCTGGGATATTCTGAACAGTGCAGTGCAAAGAACTTGAACTTAGAGAATAGAAGAGTCTAGTTCAAGTTTTACTTCACCTATAACAATGCTGTGTGACCTTCATCCACATGTCAGGTATTCACCAATGTCTTACGCTGTGCCAGACCTGCTCTCATGGCTGAGAATAAAGAGTGAGTTCACAGACACAGCTTTGTCCTCATTCAGTCCGTGTGATGACCCCAACTCCAGAACTATGATTTAATATACATATTTTAAACAAACAAACAAATAAGCAAACAAACAAAAAATAAAACCCATGGGTATGATGGTGTAGCCCTGTAATTCTTCACTCAGAAGACAGAGGCAGGAGAATCAGGAACTCAGAGCCAGGCTTTCTATATAGTGAGTTTGGAAACTTCCTGAGCTACAATCACTAATTGGTAAATCAATCATCAATCAATCATCAATCAATCAACCAGTCAGTCAATCAAACAAAGAACAAGAATAACAAATGTTACCCAGTCGCTGGTTTCTGTCCTGGTAATGGAAACAAATGAACACCTTTGCTCTTGATGTGCCCTGCTACAGAACACTATGCTGACTTCCTGCACCTTGCCCTACTCACTCTTCCTCCAACCAGTGCATCTGAGGAGTCTTCTCGCCACTTTTGGGCCTGAAAATAAATTTCATCTCAGCCTCTTCTTTGAGAAACTCAAGGCAAGACAGACAGGAGAATGCCCCATGGACCAGAATCCGAGTTCATCCCTCAGCATCTGCAGCTTTCCCAAAATACAAGGCAGCTGTCTGTCCTGCCTTGGCCAAAGTGCTGAAGAAAATTTGGGTAGAGCACAGAGTATAGCATCAGTTCCCACAATCAGCCCTTGAGAAACTGGCTTCAGGGGTCACTTGACTCTGAAATAGGTATCTATAGATTTGCTCTTGTTGTCTTTTTTTTTTTTTTTGTCTTGTTGTCTTTTGTAGGAAAACTTCTACCATCTCCTGAGTGCAGCAGGTTGGCCACTCATGTCTGTGGCCAAGGTCTACCTGGCTCAGGCTATGTCTGACCCAGGTGCAAAGGGGTAGGTTCAGCTGGAATGTATCTGCTTCCATGCACACATCTAAATCTTCTTCAGTTCTGTCACACTTCAAAAGACCCCGTGGCAGCAAGATGGGTCAGAAGTTAAGGAGCTATCAGGACAGTTGGATTCTAGGACTCCACATACACGCTGTGTGTGCACTGTGGCACCTGTCACTTCAGGCTCAGTAAGCTGAGTCAGGTGTTCCCCAGAGCAAATCTTTAGCTTGACTAGTTCCATTGACAAGCTCTGAATCTGATGAGAAATTCTGCCTTAATGAATAAAGAGGGAGAACAGCTGAGGAAAATTCTTGACATCAATTTGGGTTGTTCACATACATACACAGTGCAACTCACAACATATGTATGCCTAACACATGCAAATATGCATACACATCTGTATCCACAGCATACAAATACACATAAAAAGAAAAGTCCAACTTTAAAAAATCTACAGAAAATGAATAGTAGTGGGAAATATCCTACTAAGTGAGATAACCCATGCCTAGGGAGACAAATGCCAAATTTTCTCTGTCATATGTGGATATTAGCATGGTATACTTAAATTTATATGTTTACTTTGTTTTTTAAAGTTTACTTTAAGTTAATTTTTTATAATCTACGTTTATACTATATTTACATCATCTTCACCCTTCTTTAACTTCTCTACCCCTTCTAACTCCTCCTATGTCCCCTCTTTCCCACTAAGTTCACCTTTTCTTCTTTATTGATTGGTAATACATTAATGCATGCATACATACAGATATACATACATACACACATTCTGCTGAGTCCATTTAGTGTTGCTGTTATGTGTTTAATGATGACCTCTTTGATAACCCACAAGGTACTCATCTCTGGAGAGAACTGAGTCTCCCTCTCTCAGCTTCCATTGATTGCCTGTAGCTTTTCAACTAGAGGTGGGACCATGTGAGACTTAGAGGTCAGGAAAGTATAATGAGTCCAAGAGAGGGGTAGGGTAAGGGGTCTTAAGTGGTGTGGGTAGAGGAGAATATTTGTGATATGAAAATGATGCTCAAAGTTGAAGTGAGGATAGGGGTTGTGAGATAGGGAAGAGGACTGGGTGGAGATGGATTAACCAAAACTACCAATGTATGAAAGTTCCTAAGGAACACACCATTTTGTAAGCTAATCAAAAATATATCTCAAATACATATAGATTGGTGAGCAATGGGTGCTCAGTGCTTTCCTCAGAAGACATGAGTTATTAAAGGGAAATTCCAGTGCCCAGCATGGAGTATTTCCCTAAGAGTTACTGGTCATGGAGGATGCAGAATACCAAGCATGCAGTACTTCCATAAGAGACTCGACAAACAGCAAAATCTGTTGCTGTTGCTCTTGGTAGTCTACCAGAACTAGAGTTAAGGCCCTATTGCTGAAGAAACAACATACTTTTGTTACAGGATTTAGGGAAACCTAGCCGGAACAGACATTTAGCTTCTTCCATCCTGTCTAACTTTCTTCAACCCTTGTAAGGTGTGAGAAGGAAAATTAAACATTAAGGAAGGTAAATATACTTTGTCTTTTAGACTAAATCAAAGCCATCCTTTTCTGCCTTGTGCACCACTTCCTTACTTACTATAATCCCAGCCTCAGGCCTCCATCTTTGGAAGTCCCCTCCCCTGAGCCCATCCAACCTTGACCCCTCCCCAGCGAGAATCAAGGGAGCCTGCCAAACCTTGATCCCTCCCCAGAACAGGTCAAGACAACTCCCACGGGCCATTTAAACTGCTCCCTAGAAAATAATCACATAGTGTTCCCATTTCCTCTCTGGTGGTCATGTTGGTGGCTTTCCATTCCCCCCTTAGGCCACCCAAGAGCACAGGCATCCAATTAAACCTTGATATCTTTTAATTTGGTCTGATTCAGTCTGATTGGGTTATTTGCGTCAGCAGGGAGGCTCGTTTTAGGAAAATATTTTTAACACTTACTATTGAAGGGGCCTGTACAATGGCAGCCTAATTATTACAACATCATTTGTGAATGCTATACCCTTCATACCTGTGTTAATTCTAATATGTTTTTAAATTTGACCTTTGAAAATTTATATATTCTTAGAGCAAGGTCAGCAATCTAGATACCATTGAGGTTGTCGAGGCCATGGTATATGGTATTTTTGTTGAAGCTGGTCTCTGACATCATGGCAAGACTGTCCTGTGATTATCCTGGTGCAGAAGCTCACTGAGAGAATATTAAAAAGAGCACGTCAAATAGTTGGACTACTTATTGCAGTTATTATGGGAATCATTGCTTTGATGTCTATGGCAACAGCAGCTGGAGTGGTGTTTTATAAAGAAATGCAAACTGCTGAATTAATTAAAGACTGGTATAAACATTCAACAAAACTTTGCACTGAATAGAATAAAATTAATAATGAGATAGTGAATGAATTAGCTGAATTAAGTCAAGCTGTTATATTGTTAGGAGATCAGTTAGAAATTTTGAAGGAATGGATAAAATTAAAATGTAATTGGAATGATTCTTCTTATTGTATTACACCCTTAAGACTTAGTGAGAGCAAGTATGATTGGGATAAGGTTAAGATGCATTTGATGATTCACCCTAATTCTTCTCAAATGTTTTATAACTTACAAAAAAAATAAAAAAAAACTTTTGCAAAAAAAGTTACCTGATATGATAGGAATGAATATTATAGAAAGTCTTGCAGATACCATAACATCATTCAACCCTATGAATCACTTTAATAGATGTCTTATTGTAGCAGATATTGCTCTTGTCTTAGCAATTGTAGCCTTGTTAGCTTTAAAATGTGTCTTGGCCTACTTATATAAGATTGCAAGACAGATAGAAAAAACGGTTGTATACACTGTGAGGCTGCATAACCTGCAAAGTAATTGAATTTTATGTAAAAGAAAGGGGGATCTGTAGCAGAATTTCCTACTGACCTGGTGATGGAGAGTTAGCAACTAGCACCAATCCCTGCTGGCTCACACCTGGCCTAGCTCCAGAGTTAGTAACTAGCTCTAATCCATCCTTTGTGTTACACATCCCTTTTGTTGCCCTAAGTGAATCTTGTCTGAGAGTTTCCCAAGGGTACAAAGCTATGCAAAACTTGACTGGGAGGGAAACCTAGGAAACTGTAGTACTCTCCTTTAGCAAGACTTTGCATTGGCATTGTATTTTTGGAAGTTTCAATCAGGTTGTTTGGAGCATATGGAAATTAACTGGCATAATTGTAAATATGAAAAAAAAATTCCCCAAGCAAAGGGAAGGTGCTTCAGTTTACCAAGACTGGAGACTATCCGTGGCCACAAAAGGCTGAATTCATTCTCAAGATGTCTCTGGGACTTCAGAGGGAGTAGGCCTGAGCCAGGACCTCTGTGGGTCCCAGCATTGGTCTGGGACATCAAGTGGAATAGGCAGGAACCTGGAACCTCTGCGAGTTTGAGTGTGAGTCTGGGACCTCTGAGGGAGTAGCCTGAGCCAGGTCCTCTGCAGTTCTGGGCATACCCGAGCCTGGGAACTCCAAGGCAGTAGACCAGAGCCAGAGACCTTTGCAGGACCAACTCTAAGACAGGGACTTCAGCAGGAGGGGATCCAGACCAGGATTTACAGAAACAGGTCAAAGCCAGTAACCTAGGCCGAAGTGGGCCTGAGACAGCAAACTCCAAGGGACTGAAGCAAAGCACAGGAACACTGAGCTATCTCTAGGAACACAGAGTAACCAACAGGTTAACTAGAACTGTGGCCCTGACTGTACCATGAGGAACAAACATCTGAGCTTTGGACTCACTGACACCTAGAATATTACTCAACAGA